GCGTTACTATTAAAGGACATGTTTACTGTTTAATGTGCTGAAACGTCTAGAACTATTGGCAACGTCGCTGCTAGTCTTCCAGAATGAAATGAGCCGTCCGTCCTACCACCCCTCGCGCCGGCCCTTGGTCCGTTATAGCGTACTACGTTTAGCTTACGGTGTGTTTGAAGTCGGAATCAAGGCCGAAGTGAACTTTTCAGTGGTGTTCAGTAGTTTTTGTTTTTGTTTAAAGTACTTTTGAATCTGCGAATTTTCAATATGGTAGGACAGTGTCAAATGTGTGGAAAAATAAGCTCAAATTACCGGAATTTGTCTTTTCACAGGTAGGTATTTGTTTCCGCCGTAATCGTACATAGGCGTCCCACAAGAGAGCCTCTCAAAATTAAAATAATTTCTAATTATATTTGTTGAATTTTGATCTATTAAAACAAGAACATAGTAGCCGGTAATTGAATTATAATTCGTCTCAATTACTACCTAACTGTTGTAGATCATAACAAATTTGAATATAAACGTTGCATTTGAAACATTTTTTTTAATTGCGTCATATTTTGGTCATTATATACGATATTCTAAAGGAATTTTGCTCAACAAATAAACAAAGGTGTTTACCCGACCTTATTACATTTTATTGCTTAATTATATCTTGTATCTGCCCCTTCGGGGCAAACGGAACAAAACGCATCTGACGAAAAAGTGTTAATGTAGTATATTAATATGGAGTAAAAATTTTACTAATTATTTTACTTTTACTTTACTAATTAAATTCGTTCCAAAAAACGATACGCCACTGGCTATTAGAACAATCCAAATGCGCCTAGTTGCCGGGGTCGGAAATTTTAGACTTCTCTATCTTTCTGTCCTTGTCTGACACATTGGAATGTTTGATACACTACCAACGAGTATTTATGAATGAAATGTTCGGTCTATCTTTATAATGTCTTTGATTTCACCCCTTTTTGGGAGTGAATTTAAAAAAAATCTTTCACACTTCGTTTTTAGATCTTTCAAAGCAACTTTTTTAACTTTAAAGGCCTATTTTCTTGGACTAATGTTTAAAATCCATTACGATCTTTTAAACTGTTTTCGAATAAATAGATCTTTTTCTTTATTTAAAATAATGTAAGATGAAAAAATGTTTTAACTATATGAATGTGCTGAAAGAATATTTACATTTCTCTTGAGATCTAACTTAAATAAGAAGGTGATAACAGATTTATGTTCTTTTTCCTTGTTATAAAAAATAAATAACTGATAGTTCGCATCAAATGAACTTGTAAAGAAGCTGGCTAGTCTTAAAATAGCTTATTGATTTCAGATAAAATTTATCTTAATCGGCGATTATTCATAGAAACATTCCATGTTGTAATGACATATGGTAGTCATTTTTGACAAAGCTGTCACTGATCGTGTAATATATAGTGTAATGTTTTATTTAGTAAAAGGTTACTTACTTAAAATAGTGTAAAATGAATTACGTTCTGGACATAAAATAGTGTAAAAAAGTGTTTTAATTAGATTACAAGCCAGATTAACATTTACATTTCTGTTGAAATCAATATAATTTAAAAGACGAGACTTCATATAAATTTACTTAACCTTAACACATTAGCTAATTTCTTTCAACTAAATCTGATGTAAATCATTAAGGATCTATGAAATATATAAACAGCAAATACAATAACATCAAAAACATAGAATGTAAAAAATGCCAAGTCTCGCAACAAAATTCTTCCACTATAAAAAGTTGTTAGATCTCATGTAAAACCAAGTCAAGTTTATTTTATTTAGTTTCTATTGAATCACCTATTCAACAATTTTGTTATAAATTGTTAGTATCAATATTCGTCATCTTTATTTCTGTAATAATTATAATGACTTGGCAATTGCACAGCACCATTATAAAAGAATAATCTACCATTTTGATTACTAAGTAAATCTAAACAGAGCCCTTAAAAATAAAGTTTTTTAATTAGAATAGAATATCATATCGTCCAATTGCCAAGATAAATTGATGTCATTTTTTAACTCTCTAACAAAAAAATTATATACTGGGTGTTCCAATTAAAAAAAATATAAGTTTTGAACACCCTGTATGATTTAAGATTACAATATTTATAGTAAAGTAAGTAGACCATTTAAAGTAAATACCTAATAGATATAGTTATGATTTCAGGACAACTCTTGTATTTTAACAATTTTTTTAAGGAATGTTGAAAAATATATATTTTTATTTATTTATTAATATCTCTAAAATTATCCAAATATATTTACTCATCTCTTAGGATTATGTAAAGTGATCTGAAAGGAAACCAAAAATGCAATAATATACAGGGTGTTCCATTTAAAAAAAATCCTCCCGATCCACGCGCACTTTTTTTTATCCACCCTATAGAAATATTTTCCTGAAATACATCCTCGTACATACTTTAGGTTTGCACTTAAACAAAATTTCTAAGTTTTTATTCTAGGAGCTACAGATGTTCGACACACTATTGCTGGACTCTGTGTATTAAATTGTTAATAAATTTAAAAAAAAAATAAATGAGCCACAAGCAACAGAATAGAGAATATCAAATTGAGAATGATATTTATTTCGACATAAGGCCTTAATTATATTTATTTATGATAACATGACATTAAGGTTTTTGACCTTTTCTCAAAATTATGGATCTGTCTTTGGACACACATCATGATCCTCATCGTAAAAATATATTTAAAGCAAAATTGACAGTTTAACAAACATAATATAATGAAAAAATAAATATACGTAAGAGAAGTTAGTTCGAATATTGTATAAAAATACTTTCAAGTACGACAAAACCTCATTGGATTTACTATTGGTTTCTCATCGGATTTACATAAACATATTTGTTAATTTAATCTTAATTTAAGACTTTAAAAGACTTATTTTACATTTTTTTAGATATGCTACATCAATCTATGAATCTACAAAATCTATCAAAAGATTTTTTACAATAACGTTAACGTTAATTATTTATATTATATTATTAACAAAAAATGGATAACTTTGAGTTTCTGGACTTACTATAAACTACATACTAGAGTTTGAAACTGGATTATATCAGTTAATACTTTAAATATAAACAATGATTTTAAACACAAGTTAAAAATAGCATTTCACCTGAATATTTTTCATCACTGAAGAATATAGCAACTCAACTTATTTTTCATAATATAATTACACGTTATACCCATGAAATAAAGTAGGTACTTCTACAAAAAGAACGTCAAACAAATACCCCTATATTGTATAAATTAATATCGAGATGTACAGTATGATTCAAAAGTTTTATGATCAAGCGTGCTTGAACTTTGGCAGTTAATTTCTCATAAAGATTGTTAGGCTACAACGCACACTTGATCATAAAACTATTAAATCAAATTCTATTTTCTATCAAAAAATTGAATCTATTTGATCTCATGGTAAGACCTTGAATTTTTATAAGCAGTCAATCACTGAAGCATTATTATAATTACCTCAATTATTGCAAATTATTTTGTAAAATTAAAAGTAATTATTGGTGTAGCTAAATCTTTTACCTTAAATTGATTCCCTTGTGACTGAATTAATTTATGTTTATCTAGGATTACTTAAGTCATATGACTAGAAAAAATGCATATTTAGAATACAATTTGAAACGTTTGTACTTTTTAACATAAAATAGAACAAATATATTATATTATGGCTTTAATAAATCGTTCATAAAGTCAAATATATCTATAATATTCAAGAATTCAGTGATAAAAACTTACAAATATCATAACCTAATTTAATCATGTTACTTTTAAAGTCACATGACTACACTCCCTAAAGTCAAATGACATCAATTACTAGGTTGGAATTCAATGATACCTACTTGTAACATACAAAATAATTAATATTATAGAAGCAATAAAAGCTTTTTCTATTACTAATTTGAATCTAAAGAGTTTAAAAAGCTTAAAATACAGATTCAGTCATATAAAAATAATATTGCTCTTAAATTTTTCTGTAAAAAAATCATCGCTGTGTTCCTAGGGATAATTTATTATATCGTTAAATGACTTTCTTTTCATTAGACTAGTTGTATGTGTAGTAGGTATTTTATTACTGCTGCTATGAGCAAACTATATTTAAAAATCTGAAGAATCTTCTTTATCCAGAATTAGAGAACAGCATGCCATCAGTAAATGAAATCTGATAAAAAAAACATTCATGTGATATCAATAAAATTTAAGTCACATGACCCTAGCAATCAGATGTTTTGTTACACGCCTTTTTACAAGTTTTATTGTATTTTATATTTATCACTAAAAATGATTAGAGGAGGTTCTTTTATATAGATATAAAAACACCTGTATCCTAGAAAATACGATTTACTATGATTATTCTTATTATTTGTAGTAACTACAACAGTGTCTTCAGATACAAAAGAGCTTGCCTGCATTAATAAGTATGGACAAAGTATTGATTCTAACCAAAGATTATATTCAATATCAGTTATAAATTGTGGTGCAAAAATGTCTTAATATTATTAGAAACTATGAATTACTATCATTTATAAAGGTTTTAAGTTAAAAATTTAGGTATATTCAATTGAAGGGCACGGGGTACGGGTGGGTCTACGCAAGCATGTGACCATGTAAAGTCGTCAAATAAGTAAATACCATTCAAACATAATGTTAGTAATTACAGATTTTCGCAGAAAAGTTCTTTCATTCTTATAAAATATGACTTATGCATTAGTTTTCTAAAACAATAAGGAAAGATTCTTGTTAGCAAATTTGGTATGACTTATGCTACGCCCATGAATTGTTTCACATAAAATTACACTTTTTCGCTGTTTTTAACATTATCGACATCTAATCCAATTGTTCTTTACATTGTTAACTATAACAATGAAGTTTAATATGAACATATTAACAGATTAGTGAAGAGAAAAGAACAAACGGATAAATCGATAATCTCGCAGACAGGCCAGAAAGATTATACTTACAGCTGAAAATAATTGCAGAGGCGGCCCCCATAACACCAAAAAATGGTCCGTAGACTGGGCCTGCTTCAGTAAATGCGTCAGCCATGGTAAAGTTTTATTTGGGGGAGTATTTACAGGTAATGGGAACGGTTTCAAAAGGTGCACAACACAGCACTGAATTAGACAAACTACTTATTAATATGGCCTACACGACTGGCACCAGCAATAGGTCATATGACGATAAGAGAATATTCAGGTGGAGTGCGGACGAACTCTGACTTCCTATTGGCTATTTTTCCATCTAAGGTCGAATTTTAGCGAATCAGAGACAATTGGTGCCGATAAGTGATGATGTCACGGGTTTACGTCACAGACGTGAATTTTTATCTCAGGAAATATCATAAGAAGACATTAATTATGTACGTTATAAATTTCTGGCATAATTTTTAATCAATTTCTATCAAAGTGTAAAAAGGGGTTTTCAACCTTTTTTACTACAAAAGACCTTAATTTGAGTCACATGACAGATGACTGATGGTATTTCCTCCGGAAGCATATTTTTGCGGGAAATATAAATTGAATTTTTAAATATTGTATTTTAAATTTATTTAATATTTTGTAATTATTTATTTATAATTTGTCTCCTGATAATTCTAAAACAATTGCAAGTAAAAATGTTGTGATAAAAATTTAATTATTTTTTTTTCTTTCTCATCATAACATATTTTAACTAAATTATGTTATAAAATTTTCTTAAATGATTTTTTCCAATATGCATTATTTATTTTTCTAATACTGACGTATTATTTAATTTTTTTATATGATTTAAAGTTTTTCCACAAAATTACTTTGATTTTAAAAAAGGTTATTTTATTGTTAAAACGTTATTTACCGAATTAAGGATAACTTACAAATTAGATCTCATATGATTTAAAGATCATGTGCTTTTTGTACAAACTAGCAGTTCATGGTTAAATTTCTTACTTCGTCATTGAGATAGAGACTTGATAATTTTTTTTTAATTATTTTATATTTTTTTTAAGTTATACATTTAAAAAAAAATATTATTTACCCGTTTATAATTTTAAATATTATCTTAATATTTTGCTATAAATACATAAAACTAATAAGTTACGTTGTTCATTTGGTTTTGTTTCTAAAAAATAAAGCCCTAATTAATATAATAATACGTACAGCATTTTATTTCAAATATAATAACATCAAATTACAATTTATCAGATTAGCAATTTATTCGTCTAGAAGACAAATTGATTTTATAAGGATTCTATATTTTTGTATAGGCAACCAGTAATACAGGTTTGATAAATACACCTTTAAATAAAATAGAAGAATACCCTTAATTTTCATATTAAAATATAATAATATAAATAAAATAATGTAATGTAAAAAATATAATTCAAAATACCTAAAAAATAGTTGTTATAAAAATGCTTACTACAGTAACTATATTTTTCTGCAATGAATAGGTAAATTTAACCCTTTAAAACTTATACCTTCATATAGGGAAAGAATATAATATAGGATCACTGTTTTACAGATATAGGAAATTAATTAAGCGAATTAAAAAAATTCTATTTTTTTACCAATGTTCTCTAGAGGTCACATCGCAGAGTAGGTATATAATTAAAGAGCTCTTTAATCCTATTATAGAGATATAATAAAAAATAAAATATATCTCTATTTTAATGTTTAATTTGAATTATTGGTGTTAATTAATTAAACATATGGTTTACCAAACATATAAGCGTATATACCTTTGTTAATGTAATTTAGCTAATTATCAATTAATATATAACTTAACAAATTATAATAAAGACATCTAACGGTGTCTAGGTATATCTATTTTTTTAAGGGAAATACTATTATTGATCAGTTAAATAAAACAAAAAATGGTATATTGTATGTATTAATGTATTACAAAAAATATCGGCCAATTATTAAATTAACGTTTAAATATAATAATTTATTAAAAAGTGTATTAAAGTCGAATCGATCCAAACTTGGCCACATGAATTTCCTAACATCGCGTCCTCTGTGGGCAGCACATCGTACTATATTTATACCAGAATTTCCGGACGTAGCACACTGTAAAATTGTTTTGGCAGTTGTCAAAAGTGCTTCATAGATGGACCTATGAGTTTTAAAATAGAAATTTCTTGAAATAAAAATATACCTAATTTAATTTAAACTTTTTGAAATACCAATAATTTGTAATGTAAAACTATTAACGTTTATTATATTTTTGTTATGTAAAATGATTATTATTAATTATTATTAAAAGGAAGTCAACTCTTGTTCTCTAAACTTGATTGTTTAAATTTTTTATGCGAGTGCCATCTACTCATAGGGGATACTACTGTCACATATAGAAATTTAAGACACCTGCATAACTGTATTATTTGGTGCCAATTCATCCTCATAGATGGAGCCACAAGTATAAAATTATAATTTGATACACTTCTACAAAGAGTATCTTTTGAAATACCTTAGAAATACATATAAATAATACGAATTGAAATTTGAAATACATTTATAATATTTGTGACAACTAATTGTATTTATTATAATCGTTACCTACTTATTTATTTTTATTTATTATTTATTTAATTTAAAATTTGTTTGGTTGCACTTATAAAAAAACTTGTTTTAGGTATATGTAAAAATTCAAGAGAGATTCAAAATATTCTAACAAATAATAATAAAATGTAATAATAATTTTAAAATAAAAATATTCTAAATGTTACTTATTTGGAGGATAGTTCCTTATCGTGGTATTTTTTAGACTTTTGGTACCACATCCTTTTTGCTTCTATTTGCATTCTTTATCCCTACCTTATACATTTTTTTATAGAGATTCTACAAAATTTATAAATTGAAGTACAACCATCTATCTCGTTTTATATTTACCTTATTGTCGGTGCATTACCATATAGTTTCAACTTTTAAACGGGTGAGTTTTTTTTTAAATTATAAAGTTGCCTTTCAAAAAGGTCTTCTTAAATATATACTTTTATTTTTATAAATAAATTTGATAGATTGAAATAATGCTTACTAAATTTAGCGTTTTTTTTTACTTTTTTTATCCCTGTCACAAATATCAGTTTCAATTTAATTTTAGAAATAACGATTGATTACTTTTACTATACCGGGTGCGTCTCAAAAGTGGCTCACCCCTATAACTTTTTTATATTTTCAGATAAAAAAAGAGATTTGGTATGTTTGTATATGACATAAATTAGGATTGATTGACGCATTTAATTATTCTTTTCGGCCACTTCCTGTTTCGCCGGAAATTGCTAAAACTTTTGATTTTTAAGTGGTACACTCGGTATTTTTTTACTTTATTCAATAGAAAATGACACTCTGAATATATAATGACATATCATATATCAATCTTTGACATTTTCGCTTAAAACAAAATTGTATTTTAAATTTCAATCTTCTACTTAGATAGTTAGTGTTATTATCTATTGTTCTAAGGCTTCTTGATTATGTATGAAATATTGTATTTTTTTTATCAAACATCAATTTTACCGTATGATCGAATAAAAACGGCGTCAGCGATGGCTATGAAATAAAGATAGGTGTCATTTTATATGGGAAATGTCATCGATCGTCATTTCCAAGCCAACTGGACGCCGTTTTTTTCGATCATACGGCATTTGCTTGTGATGTAGTAAAATTACTTTTTCTAGTTTTGTTTAGTTAATATTATTTTGTTTTGTTCAAAAATTGTGTGTTACTTTTTAGGTATTTAAATAATCCACGGGAACATGAGTTGATAACTAAGTCTATTAAATTTATTGATAGGAAATTCATGTAAACCTTTTATTCAAAAAATGTGGTTATTTCTTAACATTATTATTTTTCATTTGTTAAAAAACAAAAGCGCCTTAGCCCCCCCCCCCCTGGATGAATTGCTAGTTACACTAATGCAGTTTGCTGTGATATAGTTTAAAAAAATGTACCGTCAAATTTTTTCAAGATAAATAATTCTTAATTAAGTTCAACAAATACCGTATGATCCAAAAAAACAAGACAGCATCAACCTACCTAGAAATAACGATTGATGACATTCACCATATACTTTTTCGTGTAAAATTTCAATTTGACACCTTTTTTATATTTTTTGGTTTTATCGAAATAAACCGTTTATTTTCCATTTTTTTACCATATTATGACATAATAAAAGTTTTTAATATTATATTTGCAGATCACTGCTCTATAATCTGACGAAATGCCGGGCGGTTGCGGACCATGTGGACCATGTGGACCATGCGGACCCTGCAAACCTTCAAAGAGGAGCGCTACCAAAAAGTCGTCTTCGAAGCCGAAAAAGAAGTCCGCTTCCAAAAAGGCTCCGTCATCGTCATGTAGAAAATCGTCAGGAGGATGTTCCAGGCCTGTTAAAAAGGTAGGATCGTATATCAATATTTTTCCAATAGAAACTTGACAGCAATTTTTTCGTGGAGTATTACTGAACCTCGCTAAAATAATTTTTATAAAACCCTATGATCGAATAAAAACGGCGTCAGAGACGGCTGGGGAATGACAATCGATGATAATTTTGGCGAGGTCAATCGCTAGACGTCATTTACTAAAAATTGGCATAAAACTTGTCAAAAATTAACACTAATTATAGAAAGATTAAAAAAGGATATAACGTTTCCAGAAACACAAATCTGTTTCCAAAAAAAATATTTTTCTCGAATTTTAAACTACACCATTTAATAATAATTATTTTTAATCAATATAAAAATAAATTACAACCATCTTACAAGACCAACTGCCAGTAAGCGCCATTAAAAAATAAAGAAGAGTACTGGCAAAGTAATGACGCCTAGAGCTTGACCTCGCTAAAATTATCATCGGCTGTGATTCTCTAGCTTTCTTTGACGCCCTTTTTTTCGATTGTATTGTCTTTGGTATTACTACATTGTTTTTTTAAATTGAGGTGAGTTTATATGCATCCATTTGTACTGTATGATCGAAAAAAAGGGCGTCTAGTTGGCTTGGAAATGAACATCTATGACATTCCCCATAAATATTTACATATAAAATGACGGCGATCTTTATTTCATAACCATCGCTGACGCCGCGCCGCGCCGCGCCGTTTTATTTCGATCATATTGTATTTAAGTATGAGATTTCATTTTTGAAATAAACCAATAAAAATGCATAAAGTCAATGGCGGACGACGTATTACGGATACATCCAAACCCTCCCGTAGATATAATTTTTTTGCTATTTTTTAGCTATTTTAGTTTTAGTTTTAAGCTTTTATTAATAATGTTAATTTAAGATCATTTTAATCTTTATAAATTAAATTTTTATTTATAATGATGAGAATTGACAAGTTTTTGGGGTTTAGGACCCCACTAGATCTACACTTTAATTTCATTTCCTCTTTCTATAAATCTTTAATAAAAAAAAAGAGCCTTACGCCACGAATGTTTGGGAGTGATTCATCGGTCGCTACCATGTGAACTAATCTGTTCAAGGTCACATAAAACTTAATTCCAGTGACGTGGTGTTTCAAGTCATATAATAATCAATATATAATCTGTTGTAATTTGTTGTTTTAACTGTCAAAGTCTTGTCAAAACATATATTTGGTTATAAATATAAAATGGAATGCCCCATTGGTCGCACTGCAAGCACATCAATAGACTGACGCACAAAAACGAATCAATAAAAGAAACGCGATATAATATCGTCTTTGTCAATCATGCTAACATTTTACAAGGATGTTACTCATGCATGTACAAAAGTAGGAGGAGCGCAGGTAGATGATTAGACCGGGCCTTTAAAAACCTACGTCTGCGGTAAAAATTTACGTTTTTAAAGTAAAAATGATAGCGCTCGTGTCGATTCTAACTTCATCAAGCGATAAATCACTCCCAAACATTCGTGGCGTTTACTATAATAACCTATGATAATAACCATTTATCAAAGAATGAAAACGACTATATATTACCATAGAAACGCGTTTTAATTTTTAGGAAAAATTCAACCAATTTTTTTTATTTTTTTCTAAAACATTATGGAAATTTGAAAAAGTATAAACGGGATTATTAACCATTTTAGAACAAACAAATTTTTTTTATAAAGAAGGTATTTTTCAAAAGATTCTCAAAATGTTATTAACCAAAAAGTTTTTTCTCTTGTAAGGATAAATCGGAGACATATTGTTGATGTTTAGAAAAATACAGCTAAGTATTAAAAAAGTTAAATTAAATCCAGCTTCTAACCACTTTTCGGTTATACTGTTTTTAACGAAAATTTCAGTAAATAAGAAATATCATGGCAACATCGCATAGTGTTCCAATAAAAATAGTGTACTGTACTATATGCAGAATTTTATGATGAAGCCAATTCTGAGCAGAAAAAAAGGGGCTGCGGATTAAAAAAACTTAAAACCTTATCGTTACTTTTTGGAACACCATGTATAGGTACAACGAAATATTTTTTAGGGTATGCACCTTTAAAATTCATGCAATGTTGATATAAAACATTTTTTTCATGTTTGCTATCAACGACGATATTGGCCTTAAATACTTGCAAAATGTATTCAATTTAAATTAAATAAATTACTGGTGGTTAAAGTTAGTAATTATTTAGAATTAATGTTTAGATATTGCATAAGCTAGTACCGTATGACCGAAAAAAAAACGCCAAAGTCGGCTGGGGACTGACAATCGACGATAATTTTGGCGAGGCCAATCTCTAGACGTCATTTACTAAAAATCTTCAAAATCGTTTATAGTTTTATGTAGTAGTAAAAAACTCAAAGAAAGTTTCTTGGAAAAAAAATTTGGAAATTAACATAGTTTGACATAATGTCTTTAGTTGTATACAAACTACAAACGATGCAATTGATTGCAGTAAATCCAATTTTTTTGTAGCACTAGTAATTAGAACTGACTATTAACTTCATTAATTCCAAGAAACTTTCATTGAATTTTTTTGCTACTAACATAAAACTACAGACAATTTTGAAGATTTTTAGACATTTGTTAAAACAATATTTTTTCTCTTCATTACATTGCACTCAATTGTTTACTTTTACTCACTAATTATTAGTACTACAAAAAAGTAGTTGTAGTTGATCATAACCCAAAAAAACGAATAGTTTATTTTAAAGCCAGTTCCAACGTGACGGAGCTGCCTTTGACACCATTTTTTTTCAATCGTATGGAATTGTTTTTGCCAACACGGCAATGCTTAGCAAATAAAAAATCTTCAGTACACGTTAAAAAAGTAAATACACTAAAAGAAATGAAGCATTTGAATAGTTGCATTTTTACAAAATTAGTGCATTTTCACAAAATTTTAAATAACTAATTGAAAAATGATGAGATTTATAAAACAATGGCATTTAATTTTTCCGTTATTTTAATCGTACAAAATTAAAATGTAATAATCTACAGGGTGGTTCTTTAAAAAAAACGGTGTCTAGTTGGCTTACATATAAAATTATAGCGATTTTCATTTCATAGCCATCGCTGACGCCGTTTTTTTTCGATCATATTGTATTTTAACTACATTTTACATATTAGAGTTGTCTAATTTCTACAAATTCAAATATATTTTTTACAGGCTCCTATTAAAAAACCAGCTTATAAACGCACGAGTCGATGCTGCGACTACTCCTCCTGCAGCTCAGATTACTCCAGCGACTCAGATTGTTACGACTCGTGTTCCACTTGCTCATACTCAGATTCCGATTACTCAGACGATTGTCGCTACTCCAAGAAATCCGGAGGCTGCTGCAGACGCTAGATTGTTTTGTTTTTCGGGTGGCATCGTGAAAACTCAAAATTCGGCTTAGAAACTGCGAAAAGTCTTTGGATTGATTGGTATAAATATATTTTATTTTTGATGCACCTTTTTCGTCAATTTTGTTTATTCTTTAATATTATTTTTACAGATTTGTTTTTACCTAATATTTGTTATTGACATCGTTAGTAAGTTTATGTTGTTAGTAATTGAGTGTTTTTGATTTATTATAATTTAATTTTAACGTACTATCTACTAATTATTATTAATTTATTTATTTTTAGTTAACAAAAATTGTCTAATAGAGCTAAGAAAGAAGTTTTTGACATTGACTTAAATGACTTATTATTATTATTTTGTTTGAATGTTATAGAATGCTAGTTTTGGGATGTTAAAAACTGATTTTACTTATTTATTTACTGGTTGTATTAGGTGTAAGCTTGCATAATGTTAAGTACTATTAGTGGACATTTTATTATATTATGATTTATAACGAAATAAAAAAAATATCATAATTAAAAAATATGCGTTTAAATCAAAATAATTCCTTTTTTTTTCTTCCAATTTAATTATTTTTCTATTTAAGATGTTTTTTCTAATACTTATCTTGTTAAAAAATCTATTCATATAATTTTAATATTATCATTTATTACATTCTTAAAGTATGTATACCTATGCGTTCCCAATTTAAAACTGGATTAAAAATATTTTATTTTAAAAAGAACTTACTACATGTTTGAAATTATAATAATTCCAAATGGAACACCCTATATACTAATACATTTTTGACTTCCTTTTTGATCACTTTACATAATCTTAAGATAGTATTAAATATGTTTTAATAGTTTTGAAGAGAGATAAATAACTAAAAAAATATTTGTTTCCACCCGAGTTTCCACCTTTTTTAAAGAAATTATTAAAAATACAAGAAATGCCCTGAAATCAAAACTATACTACGTATTTACTGTAGTTCGTCTGTACGTGCTTTGCTATAAATATCGTAATCTTAGACCATACAGGGTGCTCAAAATTCTATGCCAAACTTTCTAAAATGTAAATAAGTTTTTCTTCGTTTTTTTTAATGGAACACCCTGTATATTATTCTTTTGTTAAATGGGGAATTAAAATACACTTTTGTATTTAAAATATTTCAAAATTATTAATAGTTTGCGGATATTCGTGTTATTGTTATTATATTACATATGGGTTTTTTAACAGTTATTTTTTACCAACGCAACCTAATGATTTTTGTATGGTATATTTTACCGTTGTAAGAGCCATATGTAATAAAACCAGGAATATTTGCGAAACCGATCAAAAATTTAAAATATTTTAAATATAAAAAATGTATTTTTTAATTCTCTATCTAACAAAGAAATAATATACAGTGTGTTCCATTTAAAAAACCGAAGAATAAGTGTTTTATATTTTAGAATGTCAGGCCTAGAACTTTGAACACCCTTTTGGTTTATAAGATTACGATATTTGTAACAAAGTAAATACATACCAACTATAGTAATTACCTAGTATAGTTTTGATTTCAGGACATTTCTTGTATTTTTAATATTTCTTTTTATAAAGCTGAAAAATATTTTTTTATTAATATCTTCAAACTATCAAAACGTATTTAATACTATCTTAGGATTATATAAAGTGACCAGAAAGGGAGCCAGAAATGCAATAATATCACACTTTTTTGAGCCACCCTGTAGAAGTTAAAATATTTTGCTGAAATGCATCCTAATAACGCTAATATATACAGTACGTCTGTCCGTTCTGTAGCTACGGGGTATCCGTGAGAGGGGAAACGATATTCTCTCGATATTTTTCATAAAAAATTAGACGACGCGTCCCATCAATAAAAATTCGACAAATTTGCAAGTAGCCAATAAAATGAGTGGGCGGAGCGATTTGCGGTGACGTACTCGTCAAGTCGACGTATAAAATATATTGCTGTTTATTTAAATGTTTTTTGTCCGCATTCCTTTCATAGCCACAGATCCAGCAGACGTACTTAACTGTACTATAGGTTTGAACAAAATTTTAAAGTTTTTATTAAAGGAACTAGAGATGCCCGACGCACTGTTGCCAGATCCTATAGAGAGTGATTCACGGCGATGGTACGTTAGACGTTTATGGAGACTTTGAATAAGAAGACTAAGGAAGGAGCATATCAAAAATCTTAGGTACACCGCGATGGGCCTCAAATATGGCTGACTTAAATTCCGGTTTATCAGTGTCGTTCTAATTTTATTTAAAAAATGTAAAACTATGATGTAGGGTAGACGTGGGGTAGACTCAATAATTTGTTGTTTTATTTTACGTTGTGAATAAATGTTGGTAGTTATTAAAATTGTTATAAAAATATATAATTCTAATAAAAATAGATAAGTTATAATAAGTATTTATTAACACAAACATCCGATAGAAGCAGGTAAGTCAAATTAACGTATCTAAATTCTTTGACATCTAATCTTTGACAAGTAATAAATAAAAGCTAAAATGCAAGAAAAATATGTAATTTAGTTAATTCAAGTGAATTTCATAAATGATCGGTTTACTACACGTATGTATATTATATAGTCACTTACTAGCGAAAAGTTGTTCCATTATTTCATTCAATTTTTGCCGAGATCTACCGCACGCTACACAACCAACTATTTTAGAGTCTTTTTCGATAAATCGCGATACACTGTTAATTTAAGTTCTGCCACAATTTCCATCTAGATTTACTACCTTTATACAACTATCAGTAGTAGAATAAATAATAAATAACATAAAATAAGCTCAGTAAAGATCTTAGATTAACAATGTAAAGACTGACAAATCCACAAAATTTCAAATCAAATTCAAATGTGTCAAATGAATCGTCAAACAGAACTGTCAAAGATCCCCACCCTGGAGTGCTTTTTCCGCCCACCATGCATGAATACATGGATAGCATTATGCTCCTTCCTTAGGTATCTTATTCAAAGTATGGAGACACTTTTAGAAATTTAGCACGCAAAGTCTAATTAATACTTATAAAGTTTGAATATTTGTCATGGTCGTAAGATTTTCTTTCAACGAAACGATTTTAATAGAATTATTATTTTTTAAACGGCTTTACTGAAGAAACCGGAGGGTTTTGGTACAGGAACTTGATATATCGATGAAAAGCAATTTTATTTGGGTTTCGATTTTTTAAATAATATACATAGGCTTGAATTTAAAATAACAATAATTTCAACGATTTTATAACAAACGGAAATAAATTATTTTTTCTGACCTCCCTGTTTGATATCCAATCAGTTGAGTTAAGCAGATCGGATCATATACGTATTACTTTTTACAAATATACTCAGCCTAATCTCCAAAAAGTGAAGCCCAAACAGTGAAAGAACAATATGGAATTCTGCATAAGTCTATTTCACCCGGATATTCATTTAACTGAGCATGCCTCACCTGAAGAAGTTTTCATTGGTCGATGTTTTTAAAGGGAAGTGGTTGACATTTCACCTAACCTTTAATTTTATTTATATTTTTATTATTTATAACACATTATCATGGGAGTTGGAAAAATATCAAAAAATAGTTGGAAACAATAAACTAAACAAAATCACTCTTTTACGCGCACAAATGTAATCCAAACAGAACTAAAACAACAATCAATCGGAGTTTGGCGCAATCGCAGTTCAATCCATATCCGGGTGAAATAGACTTATGCAGTTTTAATATGGAGCTGGATTATGTTGTCTTTTTCTTACGGCACAGAAATTGCACACGGGGTTAAATAGGGAACCCTGAGTATATTTGTAAATAATACGTATATGGATCGGATATGTTGACTTTCCTTAACCTATAAACCCAATTTCAGCTTTCAATATATGCCGAATTTATGATTTAACCAATGCTGATTTAAGATCTTGTTTTTGCCAATTTTACACGTTTTATTTTTTATCTCGAAAACTATTAGATATTGGTATAGGTTAGAATAAAGGAAAAATTTTGAGTTATGGAAGTAGTTTTGTTAGTAAAACTATAATAATATATGTTACCACTTTTAGTATGAAGCGGCAACACTGTAATCTTAAAAATAATTTAGGCAGATGGCAAGGGCGTAGATAAGGGGGGGTACTGGGGGACAGTACCCCCCTGACGCTTGACGAGATACGAGAATTGAAATAGTCATTGACTATGAAAGGATTTTTTTAAATTAAAATCCGATATATAAGAACACTTTGTATGCTTTTAATTATGTTGATTTATCGTTTATAATATGTTCGACCTAATTAAAAGCACACAAAGTGTTCTTATTAACCAGGACAGATTAGTGGGGTTAACTCTAATCAATATCCATAAAGATATTGAAATAAATGTTGATGCTGTTATTGATAGGTTTTCCAAACAGCGTACTAGAAAACTTGATTTTGTTTTGTAGTTTTATTTATAGTTTATAGTTTTTATAGTTTTTTTTGATAGTTTAGAGTTTTTTTTTATAGTTTATAGAAAATTAACTAATAAACGTTTTATTTTTGTTTATGTTATTTACAAATCTATATTTTAATTTTTGTGTTATGTTTTTATATCTTTTTGAAGACAAAAAAATCGCCGTCGTTTTAATTCGACAAAAAAATTCCGACGGCGATTTTTTTGCGACTTAATCATAGTACCACCCCCATAGCATACACCTATCTACGCCCCTGGCAGATGGAGCAGGTGCCTTTATGCAAAAATCCAAATTTTCAAAAAATCCTATCACAGGTTCTCCAGAAACGTCTACCGTGCCATAGCCGTGAATCACCCTGTATACTGGTTGGCCATCCTGTATAATGCCTACATATATTCGATTTTAGTATATGCGACTGGTCAATAATGCTAATCTGATACCTGACGAAAGAGTACCCTCGCAATTCGGACCCCTCGTAGCGGTAGTTGCGTATCGAGATCTACCCTCTCGCCAAGGGTTGTTGTCCACTCGTTCCTTGGCCATCGTAATTTATGGCGATCCGTAGCCACCGGACCCGGTCCACATAAAAGGGTGGCCGGCGTGCAGCCGGCACTATAAAAAATATCCTCCTGTGTGCAATGGACGCCATTTTCCCGAAACGCACACCCCTTCGTAATCTTTTCTGTTGTCCGAACTATTATTTAGTGACCGTGTCGTTACGTTTTTATGCAAAAGTTTTTGTCGGAATTTTTTTCGACGTTCGCTGCTGCTAGGGCACTCTGTAGCTAAATGGGTCAAGAAACGGTTGAACGGGTAGATAATGTGGATATAGGGTAGTTAATAATGTGAAAAAAATATCGGTTCTCAAAAAAAAATAGATTCTACTATTATTTTTCTGAGAATACGGGACTAAGTGAATAAACATAAGTAGAAGAGTTATAAATCAAATAATTCTATATTTAGTTACGCTGATCAACATTATTACATATTAAATTCATTTATTATTATATATTATATATCCTCAAAATATATTTAATAAAGGAATTTATTAACGTTCATTCAATAAGCCATTTTTGAAGTGCAACATTTTTATA